ATGGTTTCTAGGTATTCGTTTGGCTATTTTAATTTGCTTTTTTATTTCTCTGGGTGGGTAATTGAGGTTTATAAATGCTTGGTAGAGATCCTGAAGTTTCTGGTCTCTGTCAGTGGGATTAGAGCAGATGCGGTTATATCGAAGGGCTTGGCTGTAGATGATGGATCGTATGGTGTGTTCTGGGTGGGAGCTGGAAGCATGTAGGTAACTGTATGAATCAGTGGGTTTTCTGTAGAGAGTGGTGTCTAATTTTCCATGCTGATTTGTACTGTGGTGTCCAGGAAATGGATCTCTCGTGTAGAATGGTCCAGGCTGAAATTGATGGTGGGGTGTAGGTTGTTAAAATCTCTGTGGAATGTCTCCAGTGTTTCTTGGCCATGCGTCCAGATCATAAAGATGTCATCGATGTAGCGTAAGTAGAGAAGGGGTAAAAGGGGACGGGAGTTGAGGAAACGGTGTTCTAGGTCAGCCATAAAGATATTAGCATACTGTGGGGCCATGCATGGATACACACATGGCCCCAGTGACTCATACAGTTACCTACATGCAATCCCTTACGGAAAAGGGATGCAATCTAGATGTAGCCAGGGATTTATCATAAACAGCTAACACACTTTTAACATCAACTTGCCTTGCTTCAACCAGCGGCTTTTGATAGATTTCCCTTTTCACCCCCATTGTTTCCTAATCCTCTTCAGGGTTGGGGGTGGGTGGGTGTTTTTGTTGTTGTTGGGTTTTTTTTGGGGGGGGGGAGTGGCAGTCTAATATAATTCAGTAGTCATTGTAAGATGTGGGCACACACCACTGGTAACTGAGGCTTTACAATGTAGTGCATTTCAGTAGCCATCAAAGCATTATGCCAGCACAGCTGTTAACAATGCTGCAAAATACTTTACAGTGCACTACAAGACCTTTAGTAGCCAAAGACCAAGAACATGTGGTATAACTGAAGAGGAATGGAAGCAAGTCTAAAAGGGAGGATTGAAATTATATATAGTTTTATCAACTGTAGGCATGTTTCTTTCCCTCCTCCCCATTTTAGTAAACAAATGCCCCTATAATTTGGAGGCATGGGGGTCTAAAAGGGCCTGTACACTTTTTTGCAAGCTCACACTAAAACAATAACTCTTCTGACCTTGG